CATAGTTCACACGCCGTCAGCATTATTCAGATTTGCAAAGCAAATTTAATAAAATCATCACTGATTTCAATGCCGATCGCTGATAAAGGTAACAGAATAATCATGTTTCATATTGATGATATACAAGGTTGTATTATGATCATTGTTAGATGTAATTATTGAGCTGTGTGTAATAGGGTAGAGCGGAGCTTAAATGACCATGGGTAAAGAGGTTCACCTACGATATCTCAAAAACAAGTAAAGTCTGGAATATTTCAACAATAATATTTAAAAGTGGAGAAAAAAGGTTATATAACCAGCCACCATCTTGATTCTTACGACGTGGCTTTCGATAGATAATGTTTGAAAATCCATAGCGAAAGAATTTTCCTTTGTTGTTAGTTTTTTTAGCTCCTGACACTGTGGTTTAGTCTATGAGACCTCAATATAATTTATAATAAATGGTTATGTTTACCCTGCTGTCTCATTGTACCCTGCCTATGGGGTAAAAAGACCAGGACACTAATTTTTAAACAACTTAATTCTACAATGATGAGTTATCTGGGAGTTTTACTAAACATAGTCAGATAGTTATTTGTTTGATCTGTGTTATTTGTTGTGATATATTTCGTTTGATTTACGCAATGTATTTGTTCAAAGTCAAATTAGATCTGCCTGAATCAGAAGAATATTTTACCCTGTTTCTTGAAATAGTAAAACAAATTAAACATTTGTACTAAACGTAAGTTTATTGATTAGAAATAATTTTTTATATTATTCGTAATTTCTATAAGTCTTTGAAGTTATTAAAATGGAAAATATTCTTTAGACAAGACAGATATTACAGCTGTTAAAAAAATATCGCCAGCTAAAAAGTAAAAAAAGACACATGCAGTCAATGAATGCATGTTAATTTCAATTACATGAAGTTCTTCAAACACAATTACATGATGAGTTAAGTTGCGAAAACAATATTTGTTTAGGCGTTGTTTAACATAATCCACTGTGTGAACTATTATTATAGAATTTATTAAACAGCAATTACTTCATTTCTAAATGCTAATTACAATGACAAACCGATCATGTCTTATACTTGAAGTATAACTTTAATTACATTATTGTTTTTAAATATTATACATATTTTTAATGCTATTATAAATATATAATTTAAAATTTATTATTATATAGATGTGTATAATGGTTGACACTAATAAATGTGTGCATCACGAGTGTTACCATATTACTAATAAACATTATTCAAAGTTGTTATATGATGTATTTATTTTTACTTAACTTAAAATTGCTACTTTGTACCTTAGCGATCAGAACTTTTTCTAGAGTCATATAAACTGCTGCGGTGATTTTACTTAACTAAGTTTTTTTTTTTCAAACGGAAACCCAATAGTTGACTATTGTATTTGACTTTCTGATCTATTTTCACACTTTGGAAAAAATAAACAAGGTCCAAATCAGTACCGAAGGCGAGGGTTAAATTTAAAGTATAAAAATTAAAACTAAAATATTTTCTATATCAGATAATTATGTAATTATTTTATAGTTTTGTTAATACAGTAGGAGTATGTCAATACTTAAGAAATTATAAGAAAACTAACATAATTTTATTATAAATGTGTATTGATTATAATTTTTCGTTTAATTCTAAAAAACCTTGAATTTCAAAACTTTTATAAAATTTAATTAAAAATAGGTTAAAAATTTATTCTTCATTTCATTTTCATAGCTTAGGGTTTTAATTGTATACTAAAATTTATCGCATTTATGATTACATAACGTAATAAATTTATATTTGTAACAATTTCATTAGCAGTACGCATACAAATTTCATTAATTAATTAGATCTTCCGGGTGCTATTTATTTTCTGGCCAACGTGTTCTGCAACGCAAACTTTTACTCGAATTGTTCCCATCATACCTGCGTTTCGTGAATTACTTCGTATTTTAATTAAACAATATTTGTTGCTGTTTCTGTATTCGTGGAACTTCTATCGCCGCATTAAATGTAGAAATACCGTTTTCATTCTAATCTGATATATGAAAGATGTAAATTTATTCATCCCTTGGATTTTATAAACAAGGGTCTCGAATGCGACCTGAATTCTGCTAACTTGGCTGATAAAGTAGTCTATTTAATTCAAGGTCATAGTGTTGGGGTGACAATGGATAACACATTTTCATAAAATAAAGTGAAATTTATAACCAATATAAAATATTCAAGAAAATAAAATAAAATGTACGCTATTAAATTGTTTTCTCATATTTCTGTACTAAATCATTGAATCGCCAATTTACTTGGTGGCTGGATGAGACACTCAGTAGAAACTTAGTAGACTAAGTAGAAAACAAATCATGTAACAGTAAAAGTAACAGTTGATAAAATAAATTAAACCAAAAAACTTACTTTTGACTCTATGTTAATGTAGGAGCGCTGACTCAAGCAATAATGTGAACTTGTTAGAACGACCATACTTCATCTTTCTCCCTCTGGACCCTACCTCAAAAACAGGAAGGTTTAGCTGTTATGAAAATGGTTACTGCCGTATCCAGTCTCCAAATACAACAAGAAATGGAACCAAATAATAAAATTAAAAGCCATTCGAGGTACTCGATGAAAACTATCGTGTATCAGTTCTGTGCAACGGCCGAGCCGTTTCTTTGCAATTGGCAGAAAAGTGTAAAATTTTTCGTCTACTTTTTAGACCAAAATTTTTAATCGATTTAGATCTTCATTGGGAATCGTGTTGATTAATTTCTGGTAAAAACCGTTTATTGGTAATTAAATGCTGAAAAAAAATTTTTTGATGATATACATGATACATAGTATAACGATACATTTCGTAATCTGAAATAACATACTAAAATATTATAAGTCTACGTCTACGATAAGCGGTTGAATTATAAAAATTCATCAAAGTTTTGAAGTATTTTGCAGTAAGCTTGAGCGATTCTAATCAGAATCTGTGGTAAATCATTTGTACGTTTTGCGGTGTTTCGTAGATAGCTACTGATTACAGTTGACGTCCACACTTAAATATAATACTTTGTTAGAACACGAAATAGATTAAATAAATTGTGTTGAACAAATTAATTTAATTTATACAATTAAAAATATTATACACGTTTTGGAAGACAATAATTGCAAATAGTATTGCTTATTTATCAGTGAAAGCAAAATTTTATTTTCGAAATAAACACTTGAATATTTTATCTAATTTGCTGAATTTCAATTCTTATTGATAACTTGATTATGTATACGTATGGGCAATATCATGCAATTTGCTTTACTGTATTATACTGAATTCAATTCATTTTTCAATACTTATATTATTAACTGAGTACAATTATCGCTATCAAGCATATTGTACGAGGTATTATTTTAAATTTTTCAATATTGAATATATATTCATGCAAGTACCAGCTTTTGTTAACTTGAACGTAAAAACGAACGAAGCAAATCATAGTTTTTAGTTTTCACTATAAATGATCAAGATGTAAAAAGTAGAACATAATGAAACGTAAGAAATTTCAAAAAAATATGTATAAAATTACTTAATGAAAAAATGCATAAAATGAATTATACGCAAAGAAAGAGTTATACACAAAAGAATAATAAAAAAGGAAATTTTTGAAGTAAAACTTCTTTAGGCGCGACTAGGGTGTAAATCCGTACAAATGCAACGGAAGTGAGTTACGGCAAGGTCAAGTGCCAATGATTGGACATTCGCTCTCGATGATATCATTTCTATACGGGTCGATTCTGATTGGTCGTCGTATTTTTGCGAGGTTTCTTTGTACGCGTGACTTTATACGTGCGTACGTCACCGAAAGCGTGAAGTATATTGTTCATTTTTCGGTTTCATGTCGTTACATTTTAAGGTTAAATATTAGTACAAATATTGAGTTGATAAAAAATATCTGGATCGGAAGAATATTTTATCCCATCCCCCATAATTATAATATATATATTATAGCACTATAATTATATTATAGTGCAAATAATAAAGCAAATAAAAAATCTGTGCCGTGTAAGAAACGTACTCCCGTAACATAAGTTTATTGAAATAATTTGCATTATTCTTAGTTACTATATATTTCGAGCTTATTAAAATGGAAATTATTTTTATATGCAAGACAGATACTACAACTGTTTAAACAAGCAAACAGCTCTGCATTTTTGTAGATATTAAAAAATATTAAAGCAGTACAGCTTTACTCTAACATACCGAAGATATATCTTTTTCAGAATTATATCTCAGACACTTTTGGAAGTTATGATGGCTAAGTATTAGAAAGTTGCGTATTTTTATAAATAATGAAGAATAAATTGATATACAGATTTATTACTCTAAAAAAAAGATCAAGCACAACAATAGTTTGTGTAGCTGTGTATCATTTATATACAGATATACTTTTTAATGGACATCTATGCAGTGTATTCATTGCTAGTGTTAATGAAATTATTCAAGATTGTTATATTATAGCTGTCCACTGTGTGAGCGAATATTATAGAATTTATTAATCAGCAAGTACTTTATTTCTCTAATAAAGATTCAAGTCCTAGATGCTAATTCCAATGACAAACCGATCATGTCGTATGACTTTAATTGCATTATTGTTTTCAAATATTATAAATATTTTTAATGATATTATAAATTTATAATTTATTATTATATGAGTTTGTATAATGGTTGACATTAAAAAATGTGTGCATCACGAGTGTTACCATATTACTAATAAACATTATTCAAAATTGTTATATGATGTATTTATATTTACTTAAATGCCATCTTGTACAGTAGCAAATAAGTTTTACTTCAATCGCGTGTGAACCTTACGCGCACTCTTTTTTTAAATAAATCTTTAGGTTTTCGTCATATTTAAAAAACTTTGAAGAATTATTTATAACAATATTACAATGTAAAAATTAAACAATAAATTATCAATAGCTTACAAAACAAACAAGAACGTGAAAATCCACTATTCGATTTTATTTATTCGTAACATAATCACATCTCCAAACTTGTAAAGCGTAATTGATAATAATAATAAAATTTTCTCCACTGAAATAAATTTCATCCTTTGCGCCAGGTCGTGTCTGTCGCCTTACTATAGGTTCCGACGAGCGTTCGATGTGGTAAATCAGGGAACGGCCCCACCCTTTCGAACGTTCTGGGCAAGACGGGCACCTCGCCCTGCCTCGAGAATCGGGTGGGTGTTCGCATGTACGCTATTTCAGGGCTGTACGGGCAATGCCACGGCGTATCCGCTATTTGGAAGTAGGAAAGCGGATGCAAACGTCCGGTGTGATCCTTGTATTGTTCGCGGTGACGTTGACACGCACTGTAGAAACTATCCACTTCGAGGCGGCGGATTAGGTCTACCTACGCGACGAAATAAGATTTGTTCTATGAGAATTACGTTATTGTGTTGTTGATTAACGCGGGAATAGAATCTTTAGGTAGATTGTGTATCATATGACTAGTGTATTTTGTTGCGTTTATATTATCAGTAAAATATTATATACAGGTAATCCCCGCATAACACGGTACTTCTATAACACGGATTCGCTCTCACACGGTTTTAGAATTGAGATCATCCCCCTCATAACAGGGTACATTCGGGTTTGCATAACACGGTTCAAAAATTGAGGAAAGTTTTGATAAAATAAGAAATATAGTGAAACCTATGAAAACAAACTTTATTTAATCTAAAATTAGTAAAATCGCCGTACAATAGCTCAATAAATGTGATAAAACTAGTGCAAAAGGTAACTCATTTGATATTATTAGAGCGCGTACGTTCTATCGAAAAAAATTCTATGATTATCCGAACAATATATTAAATAATTCTTAAGCAAATTTTAAAATAAAATGAGCATAAAAGTTTAATAAAGATTACTTTGTGTTAAATATATAAATATCATTTTGTTAAAAGGAAGTAGTCGCAAATATAATTTTTTGCAAAAAATAATGCACGGATCTGAAGATAGTATAGAAAACAGCTCAGAGAATGAGGATATCTTGCAAAAAAAGGATCATGTTGGATAGCACTTACTTGTTAATTATGACGAAAGAATCATATAATTCCAGTAATGTATATTACTTCTTAAAAAATAAATACATGTAACAATATTTATTATAAAATCATGATATGTAGCATGTTTTTTTATCATTCTTGGAACGTAAACCCTCTTTTTGTACTAGTTCTTTGTCCTTCATAACACGGATTCACATAACACGCTAGTTTTCTGGAACGTAACTACCGTGTTGTACGTGGGTTACCTTAGTTGACTGCAGCGTGAACTAAACACAGACTAGCATTCAATTTCTTTGATTTTTAAAAAAAAATATTATTTATTTACTTTCTATGAATTACAATCTGTCATTATATTATTCAGTATTTTTAAAACACAGTGTTAGGAAAAAGAGATCAAAAGGTTCCCTAGTGGTAATCCGTTACGCTGTTGATTTTCAATACGAAATGTTATGCAAAAGTGTTATGTAATTCCTTTGTGAGTCGTACAACTTGTAACCAAATATTTGATTGTATTGCGAAAAACTAAATTGAATATTTTTTTCTTGATCTATTTATTTAAACAGCGATCAGAACTTACGGGTTCTATGAGCTGTTGTGATGAATTTCTTACAAACTACGTTTATTTTTTTTATTATAGATGGCAACCCAAGCAGTTTGTCTCATCTCTATGTGATGAAATTTATTATTACAATTATTGTAATAGTGATGACTTTCTATTAGAGCAGCAATGCCATAAAATTGAATATAAAATATAATGCAACAATTTGTTTTATGTGATTCAACACGAATCAAAACTACTCAACCTGTGTGTTTAAGACTTAACCCGGCAGTTTCCAACCTGTGAAGCGCGCCTTCTTAGGGGAGCGCGTACATCTGTTTCTGGAATACTGTTTTTGAAAATAACCCACAATTTTTTAAATTACATTAAAAAATAAACAAAAAATAATTAGTTTTTATGCATATTTTACATAATATTGCATTTTAATTTGTAGTCTGTTGTTATCAGTCAAGTATTTATAAAATTAAATTTTTGAAAAAATTGAGGGGGGCGCAACTTTTTTTTTCGTTAGAGCAGAGGGGCGCTCTCCAATAAAAGTTGGAAACCACTGACTTAACCTAATGACTCACGAGAGGCAACTCATGGATTCATCACTTACCTACATATGGCGATTATAATAAATAGAATTGCTATATAAAGCGGAGCTTAAAAGTTCGCGGGTAAAAAGGTCCAGAACCAATATCTAACAATATTTGAAAATAGAAGGAAACAATGTATAATTAGCCATCGACTTAAATCAAGCAACTTCGCTATCAGAAGATAAATGGGCATATTCGAAAGTCTATAAAAAAATTCCTTTATTCGTTTTTTTCAGTTGTGAGCACTGTTGTTCAGTTTACGACATCTTAATGCAATCCTTAAGTATACCACATTGAATTGTTTTATACGATGTATTGTTAATTTTGCGTTATATTAAACAGATGTTTTTAAATAACCCCCTACCATTTGCGGTAAAATGAGCGAACCGAACCCTTACCCTAGAAAGGTGTAAACAGTAAAAATTAGTAAATCAAAATGTAAATTCAGTTGATGAAAATAATTTTACAAGAAATAAATTAAATTAATAGTGAGTCTAACTCTGCTTATGAATATTTTTGACGAAATACCAGATCAAGTTTATGTACAGTTATCTTTGTCAAAAATGTGTTTATAAAAATTATTCTTTGCATTGATTGAATTTTGTAGATATTATTTCGTAAAATCCCTGTAAAATTTAGAAGAGACCATTGGATCTGTTTGCCCCCTGGCTATTCTTTTTGACCCTTCTGTGCAATAAAAAGGGACAGATGACAAGTTTTAGAAAAATAGTAAAAAAACACATCTATAATTAGAAATTAACAGGAAATTTTACTGATCATAGTGCGATAGTTGTTTGTTTGATATTTATTATGTGTTGTGATGTAGTTCATTTGGTTTTGTCAGTATAATTACTTAAATTTAAATTGGATATTTATGCCCCGCCCTACACTATTTCTATCACATTCAAAAAATAATTTAATCCAACTTCTTTATTTTGATTTATTTACCGTTCTTTACTTTACTTTGCTTTATTAAATTCCAATGCAATATTTTCAGCGTAATTAATAAAATTATGAAGCCTGGCAAATGGAAACTGTAATTAAAAATTTACGATAGAATCAAGATTGTAAAAAACTCGCGTTATTTATATAATATTGATCATCTTTGCACAAATAGCTACATTGAGGTTGTTATGAACAGGTCATTTAATTAATAGCATAACAGTTGTTGATTGGTGATATTGATACGTCTGTCAAATACAGCTCGAAATGTAATTACGTACATTTTAGCGGGCTATTAATTAACTCATCTATTAAGAAACATCAATCAATTTGATGTAATTAAATATAAAGTATTCATGGGGTTTGTGCCATACGAAATAGAATATACCTACTATAATTATATATATCCATAGCATACCAATATTTATATCATCATATACGAACACACAAAAATGTAATGAAAATTGTTGATACAAAAGTATTTGCTTCAAAGTAAAATTTTTCGAAACCTAAGTTTTCAGTAATAATAATTATTATTTTTATTATTTTTAAATATAAGTATTTCTTTGAACTCATATACATTATTGAGTTTATATAGCTACCTACAATATCAACGCTCATACATTTGTGGTTTGTTAATAAAAAGTAGGCCTAACATAAAATTCAGTAGATAAATTCGCACAATAAATTCGTTCAAACTAACATTTTGAGTTAAAATGTATTTTTGAAAGGTCTAACATAATAATTCTAACAAATAAAATTAGTATAAAATCTATTATGATCAGATACGTACAACTTTACTCAAAACGTTTATAGATGCTTCGATGATTGGCATTTTTAATAATATTCGTGATAATGAATATCTCAACAGAAAATATTTAAAAAATCACATTACACATTGTCTAAATACAAACTGAAAAATACTCAATACTTTAAATTGATTTAAATTTTTATTTCATTTTATATTTTTTGTATTTAACCAATTATCTTTTGATCACCGTTATGTATATTTTATAACAGAATCACTGACCACAAACACTTTACTATAAGAATTTGGTATTCCTTCCTTGTCTCACGTCGATTTATCTTACTTCGTCGATTATGTTCTTATTTAAACTTTGCAATAATTCTATAGACTGTCCTTTTATTCTTAATCAACTATCCTTTAGTGTTCCAAGGCTATCTACGCGTTTCAATTATTTTTCAATTATCCTACTCCTAAATCTAATTCTCCCTATTTTACTTATGTCCTCTAACTTTAACTTAATTAATAATGAAATAGATATTCACAACACTTCACCTAATCAAATAATCTCCATCTGCACAAGTTAACCTTTTTATTTTCTTTTCAAATATCTCATTTTATCTTATTCTGTTTATATATAATATTGTTACCTTATGCATTATATGTAACTTTATGTTGAGCATTTTATGTTAATAACTATATATTGTAATTTTGTATATATTTTAATTGTAATTCATTATGTAAAATAATTGTATTTTTGAGTCCTCTTAGAAGAAATCTGTGGGCTATATATTTAAAATAAATAAATAAATAAATAAATAACATTTGTAACATGGAAACTATATACATTTGCAAACTCTCAAATAATCTAAATAATGTGAATTTTTCACACGTTGAATTTCTACAAAATCTAGACAACAGATAAAATAATAATGGGTCTTCATGCATCTTTACAAAAAAAAAATCTTTATAAAATACCGTTTACACCTAGTTTATTATTATTATTATTATTATTATTATTATTATTATATATTATTTATTATTATTATTATTTATTATTATTATTATTATATATACTAATAATGGGTAGTATAGCCCTAGGGCAGGTTAGTAACCTCAACTTAACTGCAACTCGATTCAGGGAACATTAGTGTGAAAGATTTTCTATTTCCAGTTTCACACCCAGTACTCTAAATGTGCTATTTTTGAAAACATTTTTGATTTATATTTTGAAGTAAAAATGGATATCTCTGCTGCACGATATCAGGTTGCCAGAGCGATGTCGTCCAACGGTTAAGCGCACCACAGAGGCGGTGCGCTTAACCGTTAACAGTTACGGCGTAATTACGCCATGGAACACCGGACATCATACAACCATTAAAAATTATAAAAGTGAATTAACTGGTAATTCTCATAAATCTTAAATCACCGGATTAACGACTTTTTTATTGTATCTGAACTGAAAGATTCTATCAGCATTTTTAATGATTTAACTTAGTTGCATCTGTTTTAATAAATAACAACCAGAATTGTTGTCCCATCTCATAATGATAAATTTTATTATTACAATTTCTATAATAGTTGTAAATTTTTATTGATGCAGCAATGCCGGGTAAAGGTATTTTTACTTGAAAACATACTGCTATCTATATTTCTGTAAGTTTGAAACCTATGTCACTACTGCTTAACAGCAGGCATCTCTAAAGGGATCAAACCCGATATCTCTAATGCAAATTTCATTGCTGTAATCACTTACCTACGGACTAAATTAAAATGTTCCTTAATGATAAATAATTCGCATTTTCTAACATTCCTACGCCCCTCAACAATTTGCTATACATATTAACACATCTAAAACTTGACAATAATTTTATCGTAAAATATTTTGATAAATTTATGAAAATACTCAAAATATGATATAGATGAAATATAAAATATGTAACAACATAGTCCTAGATGAGAACGAAGTTACATCAACGCTTAAAGTCTACTCACTCAATTTTTCAGTTTAAAAATTGGGCTAATATGGTTTTAATTCATAATGAATGTTAAAAGAAAACTCCCTCTTAAAAGCTTATAAAAGATTTGCTGAGTTCGCAATATAACGAGGCTCCTTTAGTACCCTAAAAATAGGCTTTGAGAGAACCGAGAATATCGAAGGTAAGTGAATATTTAATAGCCCTGTCCATCTGCTGATTTATTAAGACCTTTCTATCTTTCACTAATTTCCGAAATAATTTATATCATCAAGACGTCCGCTTCCATCACCTGTGTCATGTTCTGCATGGGGCTGTCGAGCGAGCGCCAGTCTGCCATGCGGTTAGCCGCGACCAGGTCGGGTTTGGGGGTATAGGCGGAACTCATCAGCCCCCATTGTCCCTCGGGCATAGTGAACCTGGAGAGCACCTCGTTCCGATAGTTTTGGAAGTAACTCACGTGGTAGTTCTGGTACATCGATCCGACGCCACTCTTTGTCGGAGGCAATGCACCCATGTACACGGGGTGTAACGAGGGCGGCACATATGAACCGTGGGTTACGGATTTCATCGAATTCGACATTATGAGTACTTTTTTTATAATTTGTTACTGTGTTGTTTAATTCGACTCAGCTTTAGGTTTTATTTAATTTAAAACAGTTGCTAATTATTCTTGAGTGATTTTCGTATTTCAACATAATTTTGACATTCTGTAACACAACAATTATTTATTTGATGGTGAAATGAATCATTTACGAACAAGCAATAAGTAAAATTTCTAATTTCAGTAATTTATAACTCATATTATAGTATAGCATTCCATACCATCTCTAATTCTATAAATTGCTTATATTTAAAACGCGATATTGAGTTTTTTGTCATTTTCAGCACCCCTGATTTTTGAAACCAAGCGAGTAATAATCCTTTAACACGTGATCGCAAAGCCCTGGGTAAATTTGCAAATGTTTTATATGATTTAAAAATTGCAAATGAAAAATAATTTATTGGATTGTCGTATGTATTGCAAATTACTGTCAAAGTTCAATTAAGTCCGCATTTTCAGTTTAAGTGTAATGTAACCATTTATGATGTACTATATACATACTTTTCGCTCATCCCGTTTACTAAATGAATTTTCTATTTGCTAAGTATTTTCTAAATAATTTTGCCCGAATATGATGTTTTAGATACCTTAATATTCAATACTGATATTCATAGTTCAACTTACTTGTAAAATGACTTCGTCCTACAATTACTTATTTCTTTTTGAATGTTATAATTAAATTAATGTTTTATAAAAATTGAAGCTCAAAATTTATTTACATTCGAAAAAAATTAGAAGTAATATAACATTTTAAGGTTATAAACGTCACCCATCCTCATGAAAATTTATATTGCATAAAATATGTAAATATTGCTATTTT